GACTTCCAATCGAGTCATTCCACTAATTTTTCATCTAGCTCGTTATACAAAAGGACTTTCCACTGCCGTGTGCCAGAAATTTGTAAAGTACGTACATTGAAGTAAAAGCACACCATTGTAACGTATAATCCTGATGTGATGTCCACTTGTGGGGATCGCTTCTCTAGAAGTTTTGTTCGATGTGTGATTTGATTTATTTATTAAGTAGTTATCAAGTTGCCGAAAGATCGGGAGGCTCTTTGAAAATTCAAACAGTTGTTCAGCCGCATGGACGTCTTATGATACGTCAGTTTTCGCTTTCGGTAAATTAAGAAAGGTGTTCTGTCACCACTGTATTTAAAATCGACTGTGACCAAGAACATTTCACCATCTTGAAGATGTTTGGTACAGCTTTACTCAAAATTATCCCAGGTATAAAAGCAAACCACAAATTGTGCTATTCGTCTTTGACTGGATTGATTTTAAACGTTTGAGAAAGGCAAAGACAGCTAAGAAGTTTTCTTATGGTATTTATATCTTAGAGAAAAATAAATTATTTTCTTTACCAAACAGGTATTGTGGCTTGAAGAAAACAACCATGTAAAGATATTTATGATTTTGAAAGATACGATCGGTAGAGAAATATATTATGCACGAAATGAAAAATCGCGCTGAAATTAATGTGCTTGTCAGAGAGTAATGTATGCATTACTGTGTCGACTTTTAAGGGGTATGGAAATTCACGAGATTGAATCATTTGTGATAGATTTTCGGCAACCATTTTGTGGTCACTCCACCCAAAATTGGCTGAGAATTTATTCTGTTTCCAAAAGAACGAAGTCCATCTCTGAAATAATTTTCGGAGTAAACGACAGCATCACAGAAGAAGAATGTTGACACAGACTATCTTCCTTATCAATAAAAATCCCTTTATGACTGTAATCCACTTGGTTTGCTTCGCACGTATTAGCATTTTGCAAGGCAAACAAATAATACTTCATTGAAATTCATTCCACGACACGCAATTCAGTGACATATATCCCTTGTTAATCATATTGGACTCGAAATCAAGCAAATTGATTCGAAGAGTTTTTTTATTTATCTCCAGATATTCCAACGGCGACGACATGACTTTGCCAAATCAGCTTTCGAGTCCTGATGCAAACCCCAAAATGCTGATGAAGAAGCACCTCACTCCAGAGGTGTACAAAGCTTTGAAGGATAAAAAGACCGCAGGTGGTTTCACTTTGCACGATCTGATAAACTCTGGCTTGGTGAATCTTGACTCTTCGACTGGCTGTTACGCTGGCGATGAGGAAAGCTACACGCTGTTCGCGCCATTACTGAACCCCGTTATTGAGGAGTACCACAGCCCTTACAAGTTGGCAGATGGCCATACATCAGACATGAACCCAGATAATGTTGATGCACCAGACTTAGACCCTGAGGGATCTTTCATTCGGTCTACACGTATACGTGTTGCCCGAAATCTCAGGGGCTACCCACTAACACCCAATTTATCCAAAGAACAACGACTCGAGGTCGAAAAGAAGGTCGTTGGCGTCTTGACATCTTTGACCGGTGATCTCGCTGGAAAGTACTATCCGCTGTCAGGAATGGACGAGGAGACCCGCCAGCAGTTGGTGGATGACCATTTCTTGTTCAAGAAAGGCGATCGCTTCCTAGAGGCGGCTGGCGTCAATAAGGAATGGCCTGAGGGACGAGGTATCTTCCATAATGATAGCAAGACCTTCTTAGTCTGGGTGAACGAGGAGGATCAACTTCGCATAATCAGCATGGAGATGGGTGGCGACATCAAATCCGTACTCACTCGCCTGTGTCTTGCTGTGAACGAGATAGACAAGCAGCTGGGTTTCCAGCAGACTAAGCAGCATGGGTATCTGTCCTCGTGCCCAACTAATTTGGGTACAGGAATGCGCGCTAGTGTGCACGTGAAAATCCCACATGCCAGTATACACCCAGACTTTAAGAATATTTGTGATCAATATCATATTCAGGTACGAAATATTAGCAGAAGGCATCGCTCTCAAATATGTTTCTTTTATAGCTTGTATAAATTTCGATTACATTTCTTTTGGACGCTAAACTTCCATGTGCGAAGTCTTACATGGTGGTTAGAAGTAAAAGAGGGGAAATTTTCCATTCATTGTTCTCCTGTTTTAAGAAGCACCACTTTGCTCATAATTAGCCACAATATATCTCCCCAGGACGAAGATACAAGCATTTAAGCCAAAACATTGAAATGATAGACAGGAATGATAAAGGAATGCTTTGCATGAAGGCTGTGGACCGCATTTCTGGGGTATGAAAGGAACTAATGTCTTTGAAGCTTAAGGTATCTTAAGGATGGTGTATATTTTTCAGCCTCGTGGAATCCATGGTGAACATTCCGAGTCCACTGGAGCGGATGCTGGTGTTTATGACATCAGTAACCGCCGGCGCTTAGGTCTGTCCGAGGTTCAATGTGTTAAGGACATGTATGAAGGGGTGAAAAAGCTGCTGGAGATTGAGAAAGATGCTATTGCGTAAGTACTTTGGTTTGAAACTTTGCCCCGCTTGTTATCATATCCAAAATCTGAAAAACGTAGGACAATTAGGGGAATGTGAAGTGTTAGGGGGACTTTTTCCGAAGAAAAGTTTCTGAAAAAAATAACTTGATTGAAAGAAAGACTTTAAAAGTGACAACGGTAATGTAAGAAGGGTTCTTCTCCTTTGTTAGTGAAAAGGAAGCCATGTTCCCAGAAGCTCTCAACAAGCCCGAGGTAAAGTCTCTGCTGAAGAAGTATCTTACTGAGGACACTTTTAATGAGCTAAAGGATAAGAAGACAGCTAGAGGCTGTACTCTTTGGAATCAAATCAACTCTGGTGTGGAGAACCTTGACTCTTCCACTGGCGTTTATGCTTCAGAACAGGAAGCATATACCCTGTTTGGCAAAATGTTCGACGCCATCATCGAAGACTATCATGCTCCCTACAAACTTTCAGACAAGCATGTCACCGATATGAACCCAGACAAGGTTGAGGCTCCAGATCTGGATCCTGACCACAAGTTCATCAGATCCACGCGCATCAGAGTAGCGCGAAATCTCCAAGGCCACGGTTTGCCACCCAGTATTCATAACAAAGAGAGACTGGAAATTGAATCAAAGGTAAGTGTATGGTACAAGTCCTGTTCCGAATCCCAAATAATTTATATACAATTTTAATTGTATATAAATTAACGAAATGCAAAGGTAATTGTTGAATTTCAGACGGATTTCTGTATGACTGCCTGACAACCTGGCAAAGTTCACGGAACCTTAACATTTACTGACACCTGAGCTGAAATTCACATCACGTTAGTAGACCTGTCAAATAACTAAGGAGCAAACCCGGTAAATCTTAATCATCGTGGACATTTCAGGCTTCAGTGATCGTGCTCAGTCTATTTTCACATATTTTTCAATGGAATGTCTATCATTGCTTCCTGCAGATCGTAAAAGTTCTAACGTCCTTAACCGGAGATCTAGCCGGAAAGTACTACCCTCTGACTGGAATGACTGAAGAAACCAGGAGGAAGCTTGTGGAGGACCACTTCCTGTTCAAGAAGGGTGACCGCTTCTTGGAGTCCGCGGGCATCAACAAGATGTGGCCTCAAGGTCGAGGAATCTTTCACAATGACAACAAAACTTTCTTAGTTTGGGTGAACGAAGAGGACCACTTAAGGATTATCAGTATGGAGAAAGGAAGCGATATCAAGTCAGTGTTTGAGCGCCTATGCTTGGCTGTCAATGAGCTGGACAAACAAATTGGATTTCAACACGACGAATACCGTGGAAATCTTTCCTCGTGTCCAACTAATCTGGGCACAGGTATGCGTGCTAGTGTGCACGTGAAAATCCCGCACGCCAGTGAACATCCCGATTTTAAGAAGATTTGTGACGAATTCCACATTCAGGTAAGGAATGCCTGAGAATTTTTCTTGCATTAGATTAAAGATGATTGTCAAACAGTACAGAAGGGTATGAAAAAACATCGTTTTAGAGGATAGAAAGTGGACTGTAACAAACCCTTGTGTCACCTTGAAACGAGGAAGGAGGTACGCCAAAATATCTGCACTCGTTCTTAGAACCGTACCTGTTATTTAAAACCGAACGGGTTAACACATACCTGATCAGATGGACATAAGTGATCATTCTGTTTGCTTTCTCATATTGTAATGCCCTTTTTTTCTGCAGGCACGTGGAATCCATGGCGAACACTCCGTGTCTACCGGAGAAGATGCTGGAGTTTTTGACATCAGTAACCGCAGACGACTGGGTTTGTCGGAGGTGCAGTGTGTGCAGGACATGTACAATGGCGTCAAGAAACTTCTGGAGATTGAGGAAGAAGCTCTTGCTAAGTCATAAACGGATCTAACTAAATTCCAGTCTTAGACTTAATGCAAAAGGGTCTCAAAAAATAAACGTGTGGGAATTTTTCATTCAAAAAGTGTTAAATTCCGAATTACTTTTCTTTGAAGTGTTTGAAGTGTTAGCAGGTTGGGCTTTTAATTGTAATTTTGCTAAAGAAGTGATAGATGAGTCTGAAACAGGTGTGATTATTGTGGCAGTTTCAGCTGTGGATGTGGGTTTTCGAGTGACAAATATTTGAGGTCTGATTAGTGACCAGCTTTTCAGTTTTAAAATAAAGGTGATAATATTGCTGTTGTTATGTTAATTTATTTTTTACTCTGCATATGTACACAACATATGTCGTGAAAATTTACAGTGAAAAAGAAATGTTTTTTCTGTTCTTTTTTTCTGGAATATTCTCCAATATTGTGATTTTAAGGCTCAGGGGGGGAAGTGGACAGAGTAACTGTTCATTTTTTCAAGTCTCTTTGCTATGCAAACTAAACTTATTTTTGTGCCCAACAGGTAATCCTGCGCCTTTGTATCTCAGTGTTTACCAAGGCCATATTTTCCTTACGAGTCGTTATTTCTATCCCGAGAAACGATGGTTATTTTTTTTTTTAATTAATTTTTTTTATTTTCCATCTATAATCACAAACTAGTGTGCCAGTGCGAGACGTGAATGTGAAAGTGATCAACAAGAGGGAATAAGTGAGAATCATTTATGGGAACTGCGGTTTTTAAGGGCGAGACAGTTAAGACTTCAAGACGGAGAGAACCAGTCCAACCATGAAAATTTTTTTAACGCCTCGTCACCTTGGCAATCTAGCTTACACTTTAGCGTAGGCTTACATTTGAGACAAACCACTTCCTTTGTTCTTTCAAAATTGCCAGGTTTTAGATTACCGACAGATTTCCTCTAGTTAACTCGCAACTCCTGCATCTTCTACACAACTAACACGCATTGAAAAGATCATAGTAAAGAGAACTTAGTTAAGAACAGACAGTAAAGAGTCTATAAGTCTACAACTGTGCTTGCTCTTTGCTCAGCGTGTCCTTCTAGAGGTTAGCTAATTGAGTATTGGTGTAAACATATTGTGTTAAAACGTTCATCAGCTCTAAACTGACGCCCAGGTTTTCTGAGTCTCGCTATTGCAGTTTTTTTCGGGGAGTAGGAAACGGTCACTAAATTTCTGCCGCAAAGACATGAGTGCTTTCCTGACGTCTCCAGCAACCTGTTCTTCAAATTCCCTGAGCAAAGCTGTCCTTTTCTGTGTTTCAGTGTCATTCGTATTGGATACCAGGAATTCTAGCTTTTTGGTGGCTGAAATTAAAAAATGTTGCTTAGCTTAACTGGTGACGATAGGTTGATATTTCTGCATTTTTAAAAGGAGGAAATAATCCATCGCTAAAAAGTCGGCTTCAGCGAGGCAAAGTCGTTTCATCAAGTGCCTCAACTCCAACGCCTCTTAACAACCTTTTGACAGCAACGCTGTAGAAACTCAGTGGTGGTTATGGTGAAGGAGACGTATTGGGCAAATTAAACGTCATTCGTTGGCTGAAAAATATTTTTTTCCGAGGTTTAACCGTAAGAAGTGTCTTACTCATAGCCTCAAGTTCCATACTAAACTCAAACTGGCTACAAAGTCTGGTGGACGGTACATAGCTAATCAAACCATATTTTTTCCCAGGCCAAAGCAGATAAGGAAATATCTCTTTCTTTAAAAACAGATAAACTTAAATCATAATAGTCATTGTTTTTTTTTCTTCCAAAAAAAGGCAGAAAAAGCCATTTTGTTACAATTTTGACAACCGCCTTCTAGCAATTGCTCTGACGAACGGCAAACGCCCGAAACGTCAGCCTTCAAACTCTTTACGGTGGCCAATTTGCGTTTTCAACTCAGTTGATAACACTAAATACCCTGTTATACTCTCCTACCGACGCAGCACCACAGTTTCTCTAGAAACTTACCCCCTTTATTCATTCGCCTTCTGGTAACCCTGTGAGCTATGAGACTTTCGAGCTCGCAACAAATTTGGAACTATTTTTCAACGCCAGTAGACGTTATACTCTCCTTTGTTAGTGATGTTGATGGCCCATTTTTGTTCCAGTGCAAGTATCATCTACACTGGGGGAATGTATAAGAATAGATTGCGCCTACATTACTTGCATCCGCATTACTCGCTTGTTTTCAACCTCGCTTGTCGATCAAATCATCTATACAGCGATGTGCCGTAAGGAAAAGGTCAGTCTTGAGACAAGGGTTACGCAACAAACCAACCTCCTCGCTCACTTTTTCGCATCCGTGTCCTTCGGCACATTTCCCAGGTTGCACCGGAGATGAGAAAGAATGTGAGAATCCCCAGACAAGTGAACAAAGCTGGGTAAAATAGTAGACCTTCTGGATCTACACCTATTGTTTGATCACCTGACGTCATTGACTCCTCTAGGCCACTCTGAGGTAAAAAGGAAAGAATAAAACAATTGAAAACGATCTATTTCAAATCTTTCGTTTTTCAAGTGCTGGCGGTGAATTTATTTTTTCTTAAACATTATACTTCTTGACGTCAAATTTGACGATAAAATGAGGAAGGTCATCTGTATCGTCCCGAGCTCTTCTTCTTCACTCGCCTATCGTCAAAGAAAAAAGATATTCTTAAGTCAAGCAACTCTAACGGCTCTCACCAACCCATTGATATCAACGCTGTAAAATCTCAGTTTTGGTTACAGCGTATAAGACGTATCGTGTAAATCAAATGTTTGTTGTCAGCTGAAAAACGTTTATTTTCTCGAGATTCAATCAAAACTAGTTTGTTTTTTACAGCCTCTAACCCATATCAAACTCAAACCGATTTCAAAATCGCGGACCACTTGCCCTGACGCACAGTGCACAAGTCGGGCACACGAATTAGGTGAATTAGTCGTCTGTTTGTTTGTTTGTTTGTTCCTGTAGAACACAAACGTCATTTTTATCGTCCTTGGCCCTTCTATTGACTGCCCGTCCTCGATGCAAACTTCTTCAAAATGCGATGCACACCAAAAATAAGCTCACTTGATTTATCACGTAAAGGAAAAAGAAACAAAACAAAATGTTGGCATACCAGTTGAAATTGCTTCAAGGAAATCATTTACCTTCATGGACTTGCCCATGTACAACTCAGCGTATTCATACATTTCGGACTCCTCCGAAAAGCGCAGGTTTTTCAAACATTTGACCAGGCTAACCAGTGAAGAGTTCTCGATCAGTGCACCATATTCAAGGTATTCTTGAGAGATGACTTCTTGTACTTTGAATTCGTTTGCTGGGAAATAGTCTCGATAATGATCCAAGGTGAAGCTGTCCATGAGTCCTCCTTTGATAGCGAGAAGATTAAGTGAGTGTAATCTACTTCATAGTTCCTGGAAAGTCTGTTTTTTTTAATGCTAAATACAAAGTGATATATACCTATGGCTTTCCCTTCCAAAATTTCTTCTTGGATCTCTTTAATGCTGTGGACTCCTGGATTAGGAAAATTAAGAGATATCGTTATTCCATGATCAAGAGTATTGCAATGGATAACTCAATCGATAACTGTGCGCTACACTTTTTCAGAGAATCATTATATTCTGTCCTTTAAAAGAGAAATGTAATCGTTTGTGATCACGTAACGTTTCGACTGCATACTGTTAGTCTTCTCCAAACGATGAAGTCGATTGAGTACGTGTCACCTATATGCCGTTGTGCTCAGCTGTGGTTGGGTAGAATTCCACGGCTGTGATTGATGCATTATTAGATTATTTCTGACCTTCTACAACAGTACATCCTTTCGTTCATATACTTTTATGTCGCCAGCTTGATAGACCATTCCATTTATGGGCCACTTGCTACATGCAATTCTCACCTAAGGAATGAGTACAGGCAAATTCCATTTCTGGAGTTTTGAATTACAGCTAGAGTCAGCATTACTCACGTCTAACTTGAGCTTGTCTTTGAAAGCCTGTCGTAGCCTCAATTGAGCCAAATAGAGCCGCTACCTGTACAAAAGTATGGAAATACATCGTATAATATCCCAAAATACTCTTCACGAGATTTGGCTAACGAAGGAAATTCATCTCAGAATTTCCTTTGTGAATATTGCATTAGCACTGAATCTTACCGGTCAGGGTCAAGTAAAGTGTAAGCCCAGCTAACAGTCTTGACGGATACACATTCACACTCATAGATGTATTGATTATTGAGGATCACTTATTAGATGGGAAGTGAGACTATACTTTACCCTTTGGTGAAAGCTATCGATTACGAAAATGGCCTGCGTCATCTTTAGCTTTTGACAACACTCTGAAGTCTATAAGCTTACCTTCCCACATTTCATTGACAATTATTATTAGTGGAGAAGAGAAGTTAGTGTTTTGCCCCTAAACCACACAACACAATGACCACACCGGTGATATTATGCTACCCTGAACTTCCTTTTATGCAGTCTAGCACACCGTCACTGAGTTGCTCGTCCTCTACGATGTATTCAAAGACGGGCCTGAATTTGTAATTCACCTTTGCCTGAGGGAGGGGAATCATAGTGTCTAAGCTGATTGTTGTTAGAGAGGTTGTTAGCATGGCAGTGAAGATGGAACACATGCAAATCCCAGTTAAGATCCAGACGATCGCAAACAGTCTCCCAGAGATAGTCTTTGGGCAGCGATCACCATATCTGAAGTAAAGAAATAAGTTGGATGATTTGCAAGATGGCTGACAGATTTCTTCGTTTCCACCACAACTAATAGTAGCTCTAATATTTCAAAAGATTTTACATAGCATCCTCTGTAGTGCCGTCTTTCAAAATGGTAGTAAGGAGGAAATGTTATGCTTCAGATTGTGAGTACAGAATTACAACAAAAAATATCGGAAAAAAAAAACAGACATAGTGACTAACTATTGGCCTGATGGTAAGCGTTCTATGGTTTTACCCGACTGTTGTCATGGACACAAAAGCCCACCAAAAGCCTTCCCATGATCCTTGAACGAAGCTCAGTGGAAATTCCTCTGTGTTTTGCCTAGTATCCTGTGGAAATAATTTCGATTGTTTACCACTGATGCCGGATAGAAGCACAGATAGATAGACACCCACGCCTGCTGGCTGACTGACCACTTAGACTAACAGATTAACAGGGACTGAACAACTGACAGACAGACACATAGATAGAAATACTTGCTGACAGACCGACTACACACAGACTAACAGATTGACAGGCTGACTGATTGAATAATTGACAAACAGAGAGACAGTCAGAATGACTGACTGACTGACATACTGACAATAACTGACTGAGAGAAGGCTAACAGACAGAATGACTGACCAAATGACTGACAGACAGACAGACAGGCAGACTAACTGACAAACTGACGGACAGATAAGTACTGTGGTACAAACAAACAAACAAAGAGAGAAATAGAACGATAGAAATACAGGAGAAAAGGAATGAAGGCAAACCTGCTAAAAGAAACGAAATTGCGATTACGTTTGTATGTCGTTGGTAAAATAATGAATTATGAATGTAAGGTAAAATCTACTAAGACAACTATGAAACATTTACAAACCAGTATCCAGGCAACGATTCCTGCTAACACCGACAATAACAGTGTTAACACCAGCACGGGCCAAGAGCTGAAGATGGAGGACAAAATTTTAATGGGGAGGTGTTTTCTGTCAGCCCTCTTGACGACAAATGCGACTCCAGTGTTAGGAAGTATGGGAACCACTTTGCTCTGAGAACTTAGGCCACTTTCCTTGTAGTTGAGAATCACAGGAAGTACAATGTCAGCCTGATACGCGTCAACGTATTTAATCACAGTTGATGAACAACAGCTTGATATCATAAAAACCAAGTTTACTGGAATAGAAAGTTTCTTAGAGTTAGTGTAGTGAATCACTCTGCCATAGCGAAGCCCTTGGGCACGGAATCGAAAAAAACAATGTCCATGGTTAAGATTATGTGACAATACCCCAAACGAATAATTTACACGGCGCTCAAGGACTATACTTTCGTCCATTGGCACGGATTTACGAGTGTGTTTCATCAAAGATCAGTCAATGAGACTCTGGTTTTCAGTAAGCGGAGAACAAGGTGGTGTTTCTTTTAAGAAAAGTGTTTCTCTGCTATAAAATTAAGTTTACCTTACTGCAAATTGTGATAAATGTATAATGGATCGCAGATAAGATCATTATTGGAGGAAAAGAAGTGTAATTGTATTTAAACAGTGAGACGTCTGCTATAAAATATTGGTGCGATAAAATTGACCTCTCTGTTTACTAGCTACATGCCTAGTCTTCTATCAACAAATTTAAGGAAGTTGTGAGGAAATCATGGCAACTTTCTCCGTTCTAATTGCTCATCCTTGTTTATTCTAGCTTTAGCCTAACCTCCTCTGCTTTCGTTTGACCAAATGCACTGATTAAACTCCTATCAAAGCTTGACAGAAGCGCTTGAAGCTTCACAGGGCATACAAAGCTCCCTGACTTTCTATCACAGATCCATAGGATTTCAAAAATATTTGTTTACATGTTTTAGATTTTTCGCCCCCAGAAATTGCTTTGAGTCGTGAAAGCCTCAGAAATCCTCCTTTTTAGCTCTTTGTGTATGAGTTTACTTTACTCACATGGAAACAACCCATCGTAGGAAGTTTCATTACCGCTGACTTGTTTAATCACGTGGGGTTCTCGAGCAAGGAGCTCATCCCACCTGACTTTGATAGTATCTGGACACATTTCAGTTTTCATTAAATCATCCATTATCATCCCATCATCTTCCGTGATGTTTTCGGCTGGAATAGATTTCAACTGAGGCGCCATCAAGAGAAAAGTTATTATGAATACCAAAGAAGCCATGTCTCTACCTACAAATAGAAAAAGACAGTACCTTTGACAAAATTCTCCATTCTGATGGTCTCTTACATCCCTGCTACCTATTAACACATTAATGACTTATAGCATGGTTTTTATCTCTGCTATTGGCGAAATTTTTCCGGAAATAAAATCAACTTTAACATAAAAGATTTCTCAAACTTGCAAACCTCAGAAGTAGTAATTTTTTCGGTTATTTCGTGACAACAATTCAACTTGTATGATTCAAGAGTTATTCACACGACCCTCCCAGCTTTGGCGGACTCCTTCAATGTTGTGGCTTGCTATTTATTTCTCTTACTGAGCTCCGAACCGCTTTGTGGAGCCATGCTGTGTTTGGCCAAGTCGCTATCAATATTTTTCCTACATCAAGATCTTTGAAAGATATTTCTACAAAGTGCTCTCAACTCATGGGATTGGCTACATTAAACGATTTCCTAGTAGCCAACAATTCCACATTTCCATCACACATCATGGCCTTATAAATACTCGATATCTACTAATCGAAGACGATTTATAAGATAATGACAAAGGAAAGTGTTCTTACAGCGTCTGTTATTTTTTCTACAGACCGCACGCAGAAAATTAACGCAAGCCAGCTGTTAACAGCTGATGTTGACAGATTGATAGGCAATTTCCAATTATGTCTTGTAGATTGCAATGGTTGACACTTCACAGATATACATCTTAACGTTTATATTCTTAAGAAGTCAAACTGAAATGTGTAATCGTTGACTTCCCTCGAACTATTTTGATAAAATTAACGTGCTTTGTTCATTTATAAAGCCAAATAACAATCCATATTTCTTGTTAAATCTGTTTAATGATATGAAACCGATTTGGAGATTAAAACTTCGAATGAAACTAATTTTTGTTTTTTATTTACTTTTAATTGAAGATTCTCTTCTTTTCCCAGCCTTGTTTACGTAATTGAATAAGAGTGAATTTCGCACATCGTACCAAGCATCGTTAAGTTACTAGTAGGGTGGCAAAGTCGAAAAGTTGAAAACCTGCACAGCCATTTTTATAATTTATGTAATGAGGAAACTGATAGAGAAGCAGAGGAAGAACATAACAGTCAAATAGGAGTTATTATTCTCATCTAGAAAACCGTTATAATTTTCAGAACGAAATTTAGAAACTTAAAAACTTCAGTGATGATTTACGATTGAAAACAAGCTGCAACGAGATAAGAATTTTTATTAAAAAAGTGTGTTGCAGTTTATTCCACAATGTAGTCATTTCCGATGAGAATCGCGTCATATCTTTTCAGTTAATTGGGCCGACTACTTACGTGTTACCATAGGAGAAATAATGCATATTGCTTTAAAAGCTGACAAATAGCAGTAGTTTGCGGTCGAAACATAAAAAAACCACATTGAAACTCGCAATTTATCACGAAACAAATGATAATGTTCCGTCACTGTTATATTTAAGCAGGTCAAACTACAACCTATCTCACGATAAGGAAAAAGTTCGCAAGAGGGGATTGAGGTCAGGTAAGGGCCGTGGGGATTGACGGGGATTTAAAATGGTGAGCTGATCATTACAGGCCGAGGTTTGAAAGGAAAGACGGAGAGAGTAATAAATCGATTTACTGCCCCGATCAAACCTGTAGGCTATATATGGAAATGATGCACTTTTCGCCGTCTTTGTCCTTTCTGTTGACGTACCTTGTGTAATAGTAATAATTATGGTCCACACAAGGAATTATCTATGAAAAGATATCCCAATATTGTACAACTCTCGAATTGATTCGTTTATTGAGGTAGTTTAAATTATTATTCAAACGATTCAAATGTCTCTATATCTATTTGCATCAAACATAACACCTGCTCCATTCCTAATTGGTTATTTCGTTAGAAACTCTAATATTTGCTTTTCCCAATCCAACAAATTCGTTGAAGTCTATCTTTATGGCTTTTGATCGTTGTGATTAACCAAACTTAGGGAAACAATTTGTCAGTCAGAGCTAAGGAAAATGATTCTTTATCAAGGCAGCTCAAAGAGCAACGAGTGATGAACTAATTTGTCAGCAATCGTAAATTATATGCCTTCTTTAGATATAAGAAACATTTTGCTCACTATACGCGGATATTAAAACAAAAAAGCCACAATATTAACAACTTTTATTATTGTATCCATGCGTAGTCCTTCTTCAAGTATTTTTTTTTCTTTTTTGTGGACTGAATATGTAATTATCGGAGGCCCCCTAGACAATACGTCGAGCAAAAGGTAGAGAGTCCTTGAATTAACTTGAAACTGATTCCGTGTGAACGTTTGGTGAATTAGATATGGAAGTAATTAAGTGTTTCTAAGCTTACCTTAAAAAGCAAACCAAGGATTCAGAATAGGGTCGTATCGATCGTTTAAAATGGTGAGCGTCTAAAGATTCTCTAATAATCCTTCCAAATTAATATTCCTTTCGAGGGCCAACTCGCTAATAATTTCTTTTTTTCTCTTGAATTTAATAGCAAAATGCAAATTACTGCTTGATTACTACCTTTTATGGACACCAAATACAATGGCAAAAATTAAGAAAAACAAAAGCTTTCGAAAACAAAATAATCTCCAATAATTGCTCAGTTTATAAGTGTTTCTGTCAAGGCCGAACAAGAGTTCGTTTTTCTTATCGCGTTCAACTCGTAATTGACTTCTTGTACAATTGATTTTTCCCAAGAAAACATGGTAAAAGTTACTTTGTATGTCGAGGCCTGTTCATATTAAGGTGAGACCAGCTGTAAACGGATATGATTCCCCAAAATAAAGAAGTGGTCCAATAACTACACATTATAGAAAAAAATGTTTCTCCATCACCATCAAACACCACAATGTACAGTTTATTTACGTGTTTTTGATAAAACCAATTTCCAATACTACCACCTGTGTAGACAAGATCTGTTCAGCAAGAAATAATATGTTAGTAGTTATGGTAATCATACAATACTTTAATGGCACTTTCGCTTGTTAAGTTGAGGACAATTTTCCCTCTTTTAGCGCAGATAGAAGACAAGTGAGAATTAATAAATAGTAATATTAATTGTGAAATTCTCCAAGAGCGCTGCTTAGGGTTTGAGATCTAAGAGCACCTTACAGATAGAAGAAATGAAAAAAAATATGCAAAAAAAACAAAATCATGCAATAAAACTTTGTTTAAAATTGATTCAATTAAAATTTTTTGAGCTCTCTTTTGAATGGAAAACAAAGTTTGCGCCTTTTTAATGTTCACTGGCAAGGAATTCCAATTGGTTTAGCTACCAAGAAACATCGAGCACTAATGAAGGCAGAACAAAGAGATTACTGATGGGTTGGAGCTTTTTCACTCAGTGCTTTAAGTGACAGTATGCCAATTAAGGTGAAAAAAATTGGCAACCATAGTTCTGAAAATGCAGCAAACGACTGTGTTAAAGCAACTTCGTGTGCGCCATAACAATCAACATCATAATCGACACATACCTATTAAAGATCGGTTAATATGATTAAAATTTTATTGTTTTCTTGAAACAAAATTAAGTATCCAACACATCACAATCAATCTCGGAGCAGTATAATTGAAAATTAACCACCGGGAAAACGTATTTTACTTTTAACCATGACTATGGCTTGGTTCAGTGACGTTTTTCGTCGTCAGATCTCAACAAATTCATGAAAGAGATAATTAAGTTCAGTGCAAAACATTAACATGCAAGCCAATAAAAAAACAAATATTCATTCTTTTTGTTCGACATTCAAGATTGCCTTATTGCGTGGTGCTATCACTACAAATGGTATAGTGAATGTGGGAAGTGAAAAGTTCTCGAATGAAATAAAACTGTATGATGTACTACTTTTTTCCGAGAACTGAGCTCCACTAGTATATGTGTTCGAATCCTGCAACAAATCGTGTTTGAGAACTGTTTCGTAACCAAACTTGATAAATCAATATGCCAAACAGCGAACGTAATAAAGATTCTTGTTATGACTGAAACATATTTCAATAGCAGAGGAGAAACGATACCTCAATATTTTATTACCTTATTAAACATCGAGCATCTTAAATGATGTTTTGACTATTGTCTCAAAGGAACTAACTCGAAGAATTTTGGCATCAGAAAGAATAAAAAACATAGTGAGTTCGGTGGTCTAAATGTTCTGTCGCAAACCTGTGTACAGCTGAACTGTTAGCTCATGTACTGTCGCTGTTACATCTGTTCCTCTCCCAAAAGAAAATCTCCAAAACAAGCAGTTTGGCAACTAGATGCTGGCTGAGACAATAAATATTCGGAATACTGATTGTATGAATAATTAAAAATTTTTCAATACATTTGATTACCTTACGTTTTCATTTCTTTTTTAATTGTCAGCGGTGAACTCAGCTTCATTTTCCTTGTTAAGTCGAGGTTATAAATATAGACAAAGGTGTGTGCAAAATTTTCTTCTTGCAAAAAAAAATTGAGACGAAAATATTTATCTAGAGAAATCCTTTTTCCTTCAAATCAATTATGAAGCTCAATAACAAACTGTAATTGTCGCCGCGTGACTTCCCGACGCCAGAAATCGTAAATACCCGGACCTTAGCTTAATACACGTCGATCTTTTTGGTGGGCTGTCTCTGCTCTAGCTTAAAGAGAACTCACATGTATTTCACCAATGAATTAAATCAAGTGTCGAAATGGAAGTGGTTATTCGTTACCTAAACCACTTCAGAACAGTACTCCTCTTCAAATTAGTTTTAAGCGCAATGTAAAAACTGTTTCTCGGAGATTAGAGAAGATTTATGACATGAAATGCTTTAAAGTATTCGAAGGCGCAACTGGTAACATGTAATTATTTACTAGACAGTAATGGCAGTACTTTGATGGTCGTGAGCACCCGTTTGTCTAAAATGTAGAGTATATGTCTTGTTCTAGTTACAAGATTATGATCTACGCTTGAAATCTCTTTTATGAGTTAAAAATTCTACTTACTTAGGATTTAGCCTTCGATCGGGTAACTTTTCCATTTAAATTCTCGTTCAATCGGAGAGAAAACACAATTAGATAATATATCTGAAACTATAAAACCGTGCAGGACGCCAATCATCTCGTACAAATACCAAGCTGCGTACTGCGATCTGAGAATGGCCAAAGTTTCCCTAAATATCTATGTTCGAACTCTCGTTAGATAAGGAAATGATAGTTTTGATAAATTTCAACAACCTTCCTTTCTGTTCAGGCCACAAATTGATGATAACTTACAATCGGAGTACTTTTCTGCATTGTATTTATTGAAAAGTTTTCAAGGTCAGATACAAATTAATTATTCAAATGTGAGGTTTTCGTTTGAGAAAAAGATTGCAGTATGATTGATGTGCTTCACCTGGTGGAATGTAAAAAAGGAAACTAGCTGTAGTTAGTTGAATCAACCTGTTGGTGTGAAGTGAATAGCTATTTGACTGATTATTGATCAGACAACTATAAAGAATCGGCCTTTGTACAACTCCAGCAGTAACTGACGATAATGATATGTATGAGGCTTCTTAGTCGATTTGGCAAAGTTTTCTGTTTCAAAATATAAACAGGATTTTTCAGGAAACTCTGCCCCCCAAGAGACCTTCAAGATCACAATAATATTCTTTGTTAAATTTGCGCTACGACAACAGCCTTACCTTGAAAGGACGATTTCAACTGAAAAAACAAAGAATCTATGAAATGAATCACAGAGCGATTGTTCAGCCAGCGACAGCTCGTAGTTAATACCTTTCTTGTAAGAAATTTCCAGAACACTGATTGAATGAATAATTCAAGATTTTGCATTACATTTGATTCCCTTACATTTTCATTCCTTTCGAACTCTCAGCGATTAAGTCAGCTTCCTTTTCCTCGTAAACTCGAGGTTACATAGAAGCAAAGACGTGTGCACAATTTTTTTATTAAAAAAAATCGTGACGGAAAAATGCTATTTCCTTCAAATCAATTATGGAGCTCAATCACAAACCTTGATCGTCTCTGCGTAACTTCCCGACGCTAGAAATCATAAAAACACGGACCTTAGCTTCATACCTGTCGATCTTTTAGGTGAACTGTTTCAGCTGTTAGTACCTTTCGCGTAAGAAGGATTTCGGTGTTTACGGTCAATATATACCACCTACAATCTCAAGTCATTTGTCAATGTCAAACCACTAAACCAAATGCGACGATTGAAAAATATTTGCATTTAAAAGAATGATCCCAAAGTACGATGACCAAACCTCTTTTAAATGATTAGCATTTATGGAAAAAAATTGACAACTGAACAAAAAGCAGTTTAGTCATTAGTGTAGTAAAATCCGAAATATTACGTGAGAAATTACACATCTTTCGGATTTGCTTTTTGTTTATCGCGATACTGGCTTATTCCCAACTGTTTGCACGACGTGTCATCTGCTATTTTTTCATAGATTCAGGATGTAATTACTGTTTTCAACAGAGACTTAGAACCAAAAGATGTATGACTACAGGTCTGGAGTCCCAGTATATCATCAATAATTGACAGGGCTTTTCGTTTTTCCTTCACGAAAACGTGCAGCATTTATCTTAAAGCATAAGACAATTATAATTTATCGCTGAAGTATATTTCAGGCCAGAAAGATGCTTTTTGGCGTGCACTTTTTAAACTCTCTCCTCTCCTCTTGCCTTTAACACCCTGTAACAAATTATTGTGGTCATTTTAGTGGAAAGGGGGATAACACTAACAAAACAGGGTTATTACAAACTCTGTTCACTCTCATTTATCTTTTTCCTGTTATTTATTGAACAATAAGATCACAAACGCATCAGAAAATCACACACAAAAGGAATCAAAATCGGCCGTACACGCAGTTTCAATATGATTTCCCGGTGTCTCAAAACTTTCAAACGTAAATCAAGGATGCATCAATGCCTCAACCAGATACAGCCCGCTAAAGTTAACAGTTGTTACCATTTTCAAACATGCAAATGAATCAATTTGTGCCTGGCTTCCTTACAGCCTCAAACATTAAACCGCTCTTATTCCGTCTTAAAGAGCTAAATCACGGGCAGGAAATGACAAAGTTGCAACCTCTGATTGATAAAATATATTGCCTATGTAACAAACCCGTAACACTCGGCATATAATAGTGTAACCTCCAGTCAGGGACGATTAATCGAATGTTATGGAAAATCAATTTGTCAATCAACTGTGGGAAAAATATTTTAAGTCAGAAAGCCCTAAATGTCCTTAGACTGCTTGGCCTGTTACGGTGGGTCAATCACAGCTTGCTGCTTCGTCGCAAAAAAGACAAAACACACTAATGTGACCGTATTTAACTTTTTAATTTCCATGAGTGACCAAGAGAGAATTTCTCCTTACCATATCAAGCAGACAAGTGATGAGAATAAAGAAAAGTTTTAATTAGGGGGATGTTAGTTGATCTTATACCAAAATACCATCTAAAGAATTGTATGGAAGACAGTAAGGAGAATTGCTAGTGATATCTTGGGAGTGAAAGGGTTAAGATGGTAATTTGTACAACCTTATGAAAAGAAATCTCGTTTTAGCAGACTCAGTGCCGATCACTTTGAATTTAGATCGACCTCCGAAGAATTGATCATGGAGACGATGTTGCATACCGTATACTTAAAGAACGATAGACATCATTACTCACTTGGAATTCTCATTCTGTTACAAGGTGTCGGTTAAGTTGGAATTCATTCTGCTTCCAGTTATCTTGGTGACCGTGCTCCCGCTTTGGAGCAAATTGATAGGAAGGAAGGAAAGTAATTCTGGATTTCCAGGTTTCGCTTTATCAAATGATAAATGGTGCTGTAATATCTTGCTATTCTCTCAACCAATCAGACGCAAACTGACGTTGTCTTTTATCGTACTTAGCCACTAGGACTATAGGTTAGTTTTGGTCTCATTGCACTCAGTCGAAAAGAGCATTAAATTTAGACGAGCAATTATCTCAGTTCAGTCAGGTAAGTTTCTTTAAGGTCGATGCTTGCACTTCATCATATGACAAAGTTTCGGGCCACAGCCATAGTTTTGTTTCCCACCCGTTAAGTTACTTTATAACATAGCTAGTAAATTTGTCTAATCAAATTCAATTGCGTGAGCTTGCTTCATATTCCTATTATGCACGCTCATGACGTCAACAAACAAATCCCTCGAGGAAAAAAAATTTTCCATCAGGTTGAAAATGTTATAAAACAATTGGTTCATACGTAAGCTGTGCGTTCATCAAGATATGAAGCACTTGGGAAGTTTGGAGAGCACACCTCGAGCAACTCTTACGCATCTTTCGTGCTCTCTAAACTTCCCAAGTGCTTCATATCTTGATGAACGCACGCTGACGTATGAGCCAATTGTTAATGAACATTCAGTTCTACCGAAAAATAACAAGTAGATGGAGTAAATCTGGAACTAATTTTTATTTCCGTAAACGAAACGTTTTACAACCGACGTTAGAACAAAATCAGAGAGCTATTGTCTACGTATAGAAATTTCATCAAACTGTTAGCAAAACATCAAAGTTGTGTTTACGAAAATCACTTATTTAATCCTAAATGTTAAAACTACAATAAAAATTAATACTTTTAAGGTCTCAGTTATCAGAAGTAAGTAAAAATTCATCAATCATTTAACATATGCTTTCGATGTCATTTGAAAGAGCAAGATAACTAAGTTAAAACAGGAAAAGTAAAAAACTAAGATATGTCTCACTGATCAGAACAGAAATTAGAATCAAAATACTTTCGACTTTCGTATAGTACTACTTAGGCTCCCTTTGGTAATATGAAAATGAACAGAAAAGCACCAACTTGTTAGGTTTGGCGATAGGTAGTGGTCTACACTAGCGATTTTTTGAGAAAATTTTTCGAAGGCAAACGATATTGGCTTTTGTGCATGGACTGGCAAATGTTTTTTTTGTTGTTGTTGTTGTTTTTTGTTTCTTTTTTTTTTTCAATTAAAACTCGTTCTATGCAAAATAACTGAAAAACTTATACGTGGATTTTGATGCGACACCATGGTAAATTTGTGGCAAGTTTGCAACGAGACGCGTTCAGCAATATATATCTCAGATACGGGCGATTTCATCATGCTCAGAAAATATAAGTCGAACTATTATTAGCATCATCCTAATAATCGTTACCATTACAATTTCCTCAAATGTGATTGGTGCACAAACTGCTTTATTTTGTACTAATTATTTTGTACAGTTGTAATCGAACAGTTGAAGAAGTCAATCATTCTAATTACACTCAGCTAAATCCACCAATCACAGAATTGATCCCAAGCACCATAGTAACGACCACTTATCCTAAGAAAAACTTGGGAATTTCCAAAGTGGAGGAATTTTCAACTTTATACATTGTCACCACTCAAGACACTTGTTCTTAATGTATTTTTTTCCCGAAATTGTAATGGTTATGATTAATTGGTAACAGGACCTAAAGTCGTCCAATTCTGTTTGTAATCATACTCGTGATTATCAAATCAGACTCCCACTTCGCGGTGGTCCGATTTTACGGCCAAGACCAAGTTGGACTCCATTCAGTCTTATTACCATTGTTAATCGTTTTTTGATCTTTTTTTTTTGTTATAAACTTTCATAACCTTCCAGAACGATACTCTAGGTCTAGACCTTAACACTAAGTAGATATAAGAAAATTACCAAAGTTGTAAAATGCTTTACATGTACATTAAAACACACCCACACTAAACGTGAGAGAATATCTCAGTATAGGAATGAATTTCTAACCCAATGAAAACTAAAATTATTAATCGAACTGCAGCTAACTTAAGTAGGAATCTCTCTGGTAAGAATAAGACGACACGTGACCTTTTCAACTGAGAACTAACATTCATGGACAGACAACCGAATCAGGGGTTCTTTTCTTGCGTTCAAATTAAAACTTGAAAGTTAGACAGCTAATCGACTTAAATATATTTAATTAGAAAAGAGATAATATTCTCTTGATTTAAATAAAATACTGAAAATAAAATTACGTTCAGCGTTCTTACCATATAGCAAAATTAACTTCTTAAGTCTATTTTACTTTATTACACATGAGGTTACTGCTGTTGTTTTTGTAATCTTTTTCGAGAATTTTTTTTCAACAATTAACATTGTTGACGACCTCTCTATTTCAAGGTGACCAAACTCCACTCAACTTCCTTTCAACCCGTGAGCATCATTTGCTCTGTAAAATCTGGTGCCCCTCAAGGTATCCCACGGTTAGAATATCCTTTCATATGTGGCTCAGAGACAGGCCCTCGCATGAAAGTGCCAGTATTAAGAATGTTTTTGAAGCATTCAGTATTTATCGAGCATTAGTCAAGCCCTCTGCGAGATCGACCCCGAAATTATTTTACAATTGTTTTTGCAATCTGTGTTTGAATCTGGTCGGGATGCATGCAATTATAACACTATGAGCGACAATAGTCATAAAGTTCGACGTTACCATCCGTTCAACGAACGCGAATCAAGCTAGCTTCTACTGTTTTACTTCATTCGAGGATAAGAATAGTGTACAGGAGCTTTTCAGGGACTATATACCACACAGAGGGCCAAAAATCATCCAAATTTGGCAGAAGGTTAACTAGTTGGCCTTTTACAAAGCATAGCCAAAAAGTTGAATTTGGGGAATGGAGCGTCAAAACGAAACGCAGAAAAAAGATCTTCGAAGAACTCCGCTGTCTCAGTTTAGGATGGCAAAATTTCTTCGGCGAATAACCTTAGATAATTCGGAACAATGTCCCGCAAGGAGATAATATTAAACTACTTAGTTGAGTTATTTATTGTTTCTCAGACGTCCGTAGTCATGTAATGATAAGTCAGTACTTCAAGCATAATTTTGATTGTCACTTCCATAGGGTGAGTTCGAGTCTTCATACGAATGACCAATCCTTTGGAAAACGTTGATTAAATCTTTTTCGTGTTCGTGGTTGACGCAGATAACCTGAAATCCTGTGACACCTTTGACTTCAAGGGCACGACAGAATGACTTGTCACTATGCCTAATTCCCCAGTAAGGAGTGTTGCGGCAGTTTGGGTCTTTGACTTGATTTTCACCTTCATGGAAAATCATGTCGTCGGTGACATAGTTCACTTCTTTCAAAGCACATGTGTTATGAAGAACGACTTGGTAACGCTGTTTGCTTGGCATGAAATGCGCACTTGGGTGCACACCTATGATATCAAACCTCTGTGAAGCTTTGTGGGCGATCGAAACCCCAGCAATGCGGTTGACTTCTTCACTAAATAAAAGGCTCCTGCAGCTCTCTACAAACTTTTTCTCAATTTCGCTGAGTTCATCACTGCCAATTTTACCTCTTTCACAATCTTTCGATATGTTCTCAGTAGTGAATGGAGAGTGTAAGAGACCTGGGCTATCCCTTACTTTCTTTATAGTATCATCACTAAGTAATCTTCGGGCTTCTCTGAACGTTTGTGACGTTTTAGCCTGGTCAGGCCAAAGCGCCTGAGTTTGATCTCGGAGGTCATCCATGGCATCTTGGGAAGGCTGTTTAAAGGTTGTTTGCCGACAGTGGTGGAACACTCGCTGACCGAACAGTAGTCCTCTGGCAAACGTACACTTATGCCATTTGCGGTCATCCTCGTTGAACTGGTACATGAATTTTATGTCATCATCGATTGTCCAGTAGAGATCAAACTTGAAGCATTCAGCAAGACTTTTGATTACTGCCCTTGAGACGCCAATTCCGTGTCCATTTCCAGGCAAGACAACGTACGTTAAATTTATTTCCCTATCCGATGGTAGAGTCTTTTTATGTATGGTAGACTTAATTTTTTTCAAATGTTGCTTTTCTACTACTAGAAAAATGTTAAATTTGAGCTTGCCTTCAAAGTTTTCTTCTATGGGCGTTTCATCCTCGCTCGCATCCCAAGGATTCTCTTCCAGAAAATAATTTCCTGTCCTTGAACGCTCTGGCCCGGGGCGGATGGTGGGAATGAATATAGGTGCCAGTTGGACCTGGCAACTTGTAAAGCTCGTACAGATATCATCTATCAGTTTCCTTGTTGAAGTGGACATTGAAGCTGCGAGGACGTTTTGAAATTCTTTATGCTTCTCTACGTGAATTTCTCTTTCAGGGAAGGAGTTCGTTACCTCTATTTCGCACTTGACACGTGACTTTTGGAAGGCAAAAAGGCGCTTTCTAGCGAAATTCAAAAGTGACGCTTCGCTTTTCTCATCTAATTTAAACTTATCGTCAAGGGGAACATCAAAATGATCTTGGTCACTAAGCACAGTGAGTAGAACTGACAGCCACTTTCCTTCATCCACTTTTAGGTTTGTTCTGGGAGGGTCTAGAGAACGTTTCTCGAGCTTTAATTTTTTTTCTAGTTCCCTAATAAGGTCATCTCTTCCTGACGACAGTTGCTGTTCCATGTCTTTAACAATCTGTTCGGGAGAAGATTTCGTTGCGATCTTTAACACGTCGTGAGAACGCATCTTCATTTCTTCAGGAAAAGCTTTGGTATGATCATATGAGTCAAGGGTGGACAAGTCAAAATGTGGATTGTACTTACGAATGGCCTCCCTCGAAAAATCAATCACTTTTTTCAAGGGAATCTTTGAAATATCAGGTTTGCTTTCTAGGGACGTAATAGCAAGTAGATCTTGCACACGAACCATCAGTGAGTCACTTACCTTTGAAGGTGAACTATCTGCTTCTTTACCTCGCTCTCTGAGCAATCTACCAAGGACTTCGTGGATGAGATCTTTTAAATAGTCTCTGAGCGTGGTTTCTCTCATCTCCTCGGTTGAGTTCCGCCACTTCTTCTCTTGATCGTTTGTTGGCGTCCTTTTTTTCACAATCGAGGAGTAGAGGGGTTTGAATCTATTCGCGCTAAAAAGTTCAATTTTGCTTTGGCAGAACACGTCCACAACCTCTTTAAGGCCACTTGCGATCGATATTGATTTAGAATTGTAATTATTCTCAAACAAAGTGATAAGGCGCTCACTGAAATCTTTGAGGGAAACCTCTAATCGCTTTTTGATAAATTCAATGGTTTCAAATTTATACAAAAACCCTTTGAAGACTCTTCCGAGGTTTTCCCGCTGGGTGAACTCTTCAGAGCTAATAAACAAATCAATAACGCTTTCTTCCCCTTTGTCGTCAGATGATACCCCTAGGGGAGGGCGATGGCCTATCTTTATCTGCTCTGGCTCCATCTTTATCTGCTCTGGCTCCTTAGCCTTTGCTCTACTTTGGGAAATTACTTTATTGAGCTCCTTCGCAAGCTTATGGACTTTCTTAAGAGATGGGTGGAAAGACTTCTTGATGATTACGTTTTCAACGTGGCTGCTGATGATTTTTCTTAAGCGCTCCAAAAAACCTTCGTGTTCAGGATGAAATACAAGAACTTTACTCTCATCTTTAAGCTTCGTCAGTAGCTCTTCTCCACCGAGCTGAGGAAGTTTCTCCCTGGCTTCCCTGTAGCATTTATTGCTTTCATCATCGCCAAAGAAAACCGGCCAAGCATCTTCCAGAAGAGCTTTTTCGTTCTCGTCGCGCAGTCTCTCGACATCTTTAAATTCCTCAGCCTTTACAACATGAACTAGGCTAGGCCTTGATGAAGCGTCGAACTGTCCATGCTGTCGAAAAATATCTGCGAGGTCATTCGATTTAACGCCTCGTCCTTGTTGGCCACTGGTAAAAAACAAGATTATATCGGCTTTGTTTAGCTCAGAGGTAAGGATTTTATCCCCTTTCTCGTCGCCGCGGAGCCCTGGCAGATCCAGAAGCTGTA